TTTTTTTTTTTTTTTCTAACTTTTAGAATCTCATTTTTCCACTTGTACTTATACAAAGGGATGGATTTTCTTTTTTTTTTTATTTTGATTTTTAATTTTATACCGTTTATTTTTTTATTTCAATTGCGCCCACAAAAAATATTTTATTTTCAGAGAGAAGTGCCTTTATATGTCTACATTTATAATTTTAATACAAGTCTCTACAAAATTAAACAAATCAAGCATTCAAACATACATTTATATATACACACATTATATATATATACATATATACCATAAATTATACAAATATTTAAAATGACAATTAATAAAAATTAAGCAATATTTAAAATAAAAATTAATAATTGTTTTTCTATGATGACAATTAATTAGCATAGAATATATTTCCTTATTCTAGATCAAATTAAAAAAGATCAAAGACAAGTAAATACACAAGACACCCTAGTCTACTTTGATTAGTACAGTTATCCATATAAGTACTTTTCAAGAGAAGGCGCTATATGAGCCATAGTCGAAAAAGTGATCTGATCCGAACCATTTTCAAGGGCGCTGGTCCCTGTATTAAAACATGTCGATGTACCAAATTTAATCAAAATGTGTCAATTATGACAGCCTGTAGGTTGAACAAAATAAAACTAGACAGACAGACAGATGGACAGACAAGCTAACGACAATTCCAAAAATGCTGCTGGCTTGACCGGTATAAAACAGGTTTCAAGTTCTTTTTAGAACTAAGAAGGTGCCTCCAATCATATACCAAAAATAAGTGATGCTTTTCCCCTTACAAAATCATAGATCGAATGCTTGACAAATTTAAGTTCGGAGTTTAGGATAGTATCTCGACTGTTTCTTCTTAGAAAGACATTTGCGTCAATTTAAAAAAAGCACTCAATGGGTGCGCTGCCATACTGCAATGATTCAGATATAGGATTATTTTTCTCGTATTATTTATTTTATTTAAAACGACATTTTGAGGCTCATTACAACATGATTGATTTCACTTAAAAGACAGCATATATTAACTTATTTTTGGGTGCCTATTCCTAGAAACGCAGTTAAGAAAATTAAAACGAAAAGGCTAAACACAATCTCGGCAAGTTGCTGTTTATCGTCTAAATAAATCATAGTAATTAACTAAGCAATGTGTTTAAGCGTTGTTAAGCACAAATAAAAAGCATTTTTGATAAATTGTTACGTGAAGATCCTTTATTTTATTGAGTATTACAAGTAAAAAGTTATACATTTTGCAAATATCACCATTATTTCCATTATTTTATGATATTATTAAATTAATCGAATGTTCTCTTATTTCGTTCTTTTACAAATTCTGCGATCCCTTTATTTTGTTTAACATACGCTTCCATTCATTTACTACATTTTTCCTAAGGGAATATACGATAAGAAAAAAACGCTATAGTCATGAATAATGCAGCATTTGGCAACACTTTGCTTAAAGTAAGAGTGTTTCATTCCGTTGGATTTCTACAAGAAATATAACTGAATTAAGAATAAATAATAAATGTAAAAAATTCCTGAGGGAAGCGAAACTATTTTTTTTATATGTTTTTTACAAAATTTCAAATAAATCAAAATTATGCCAAAAATAGTGTATAACAAAAAATTATTAAGTAAGGTAAATGCAAAACGCCGGCAAGACCGCGATGAAAAAAAAAAAACAATGTTTTGGTTTAAGAAAAAAGTGATCTGAAAGTTAATAACAAAAAAAGAAAACGGAAAGAGGGAGAGAAAAGCTTTCTGAGTATTTTTTATAACCGCAACTATTCAACTACCTTGTTAATATATATAAAGTGGGAGAGGGGCTCACGAACTCTTCTCGATTTGAAGAGAGAGCTTAACTGAGAGTGTCTTAGCTTTTATTATGGAAACGAAGTTAAGTTAGAGAGCATTAGAGCATCTTTTCTACATAGTGTTTGTTTTTGTAGTACAATGTTTGGCCTAATATGTGGTGTGTGCCGCTATTTAAGTATCATTTTAACTGAGTTGATTTGGAACGTCGTAGGAACACCATCTTATTAGCGCTTACTATCTCATTGTTATTGCGTGTATCTTTATTTATTCTGTGTGATTTGCAATTTTCTAATAAAAAATAAATATATATATATACATATATATATATATATATATATATATATTTTGTTCTTTTAAAAGTTCTCAAGTGTCATTTTCGTTGTAAAACGAAAACAACGTATTTGCATAAAAAAAAGTCGTTTCAAAAAAATTATTGCTTTCTAGTGCCAAAATTTTTTTTTATATTAAACCAAAAACTGTTAATAACAAAGCATTGGGTAATTTTGTGTAAGCAAAATTAAATAAAGTTAATTAAAAGGAAAAAAAAAAAAGTTATCTCAACGCACATATTTGTATAACTAAGCGCCCGTGTGTCAGTTTTGTGCATTTATAAAACAATATAAAAAAAAAAAATTCATATTAAGTATTACTTATACGTAAATCTATTTCTGGAATAGTGTGCGGGTTCAGAGACAGTGAATTACAAAAAAAGAAAAAAAAAAGAGAAATACCTGAACAATTAGCAGAAAAAGCGCAAAATAATTTATTAAACGATTTAATTAATAAATGGCCGAAAATAAAGGAATCATGTTGGCAAAATCTGTACAAAAACACGCTGGACGTGCCAAAGAAAAGGTAAAGAAGTTATATTTTCCTTTTCTTCTCCTCCCTTGGGCCACATTTATTGATATTGATAAAGTAATGGGGTGAAAAATATTTATTGCACAACATCAATTAGTACACAGTGTTAATACTCATTACTGTTTACTCTCTTAATTTTTATTTATTTTTTTTATTTTTTTTCAATACTCTCATCTTAACGAACCCTCACAGGTTTGAAGGTTATCAATACGATAGACCCCCTCATTAAGAGAGTGGGGGAGAGAGAGAGAGAGAGAGAGAATAAGAATAAGATGTCCATTATCCCGTTACTCCGCTTTAGTTACTAGCGTTTGCGAAAATTCGCATTCTCTTTGCTTGCCACCGTTAACAGTAATAGAGTAATGTTGTTGCTGTTGTTGTTTTTGTTATTTTTGCTGTTATTGCACAGTGCATTGCTTAACTTGTTTTCTTTCTATTGCTTTAAAAACCAAATATATAAGAGGGGTTTGGTTGGTGTGTTGCTTTTTATTTTGTTAAGTTCGTTAATATAAACTGGTTAGTTAGTTGGCTGGTTGCTTATTTGTTTCTTCATTCAATACGATTGGATTGTTTATATTATTTGCTCATATTTCTCGTCTTACAATCGCTCACGCATACTCCGTCATTTATGTTGCAAGTGCATGAGCACTTGCTTTATTTCATTTCGGTTTCGTGTTATTATTTATAGGCCACTAACTATACATATATATGCATTCTACATGCAGTCTTACCATTTTTATCTGCAATAAACTTTAGTCGGTTTTCGACACCCTCGTATTATGTGCTTAAAGTTAAAGAGCATTTTTCCTAATGTCTATTAGGTAGATGTGAAGCATGACAATAATTATTAAAAATGATATTGATTTCCTCTGACTAATATTTGTTAGAAAAATTTCCAAAAAGGCTTTAAGTAAATGCTTAAATATAAACTTTAGTTTATTATTTCATTTTATTTGTGATTGGCTAAAATGCAGCCACAAAAATGATCTCTTAAACCAGTTACAAGAAGAAATAAAAAGACGGATACACAATCTTTTACAGCAGCATAGGATATTAAAACTTAGAATTTAGGCTCAAGAAATTAAATTCATACACTGTCGTAACAGTAACAGAGAATAATCGCAGAATCTTAAAGGAATATTCACTTGTAATTAAACTTAAATATATTTAACCAGGTTTACAATAGATTAACTTTCCATGGCTTTTCAATACTTACAGCATTATATATTATTATGTATCAGGTTAGTTCCCGAAAAAATGTTTTTTAAATATTTCATCCCACATACATACAACTCGGCAATCCTTAAAGGCACGATATTTTGGCATGTAGGCATAGGTTATGTAAAAATTTATTTAAAAAATTCAGTTAATAATATTGAGTAGCTATTTTCCCAAAAAAAAGTGGTACGTAGACTTTTGACAACAATATGCATTTATTGCTAAATTGATTCTAGGCTTAAAAAACTGATTATGTAATTATATTATTTATTAATATAGGAATTATTATATTGTTTATGAATGAAGTACAGCCAAGCGATTGCAATTTTTGGTTATGACACGAAGCAATCTTGCATTTGATGCCTTCGGTCCGTGAAAATCCTTTGCATCCTAGAAGTTTGCGTCTCTTCATCCTGGGCCATACCATCCGTTTCTAGATTACTGGGTCTTACTTTTTATACGAGCATAACATCTTTCCAAGTTCTGATCTGTGATCACCTACTGTAATGTGTGATTACGCTTGGGCCACCGTGAGGTTAAGCCTTACAGGCAGAAACTCACGTTAAACCCATGCTGCAACTTCTGTAATGTATGATTTGTCCTTTTTATAAAATGCCTATTAAATGAGCACTGCCATATCAATCATGTGATAAAATAGGCTAATACACCAATTGCGACTTTTAATTCTGATCCTACACCTACCCGAAAAGATATTCAACTTCTCCCATACGAACGGAAATTTTCAAATGCAATATCAAACATCGAAAAATTACAGAACAACAAATGAAAAGTAATTTTTTTTTCAATTAGATAAATCCTTTTTTCATAATAAATTCAAAAACAGAGAATTTATCTCCAAGTAACACGTCGAACTTTATCACCCAACGCTTTCAAATGTCAAAAAAGATATAGCTTATCCGGCAAGAGTAATGTCAAGTTTCTTCTTACACACAGGATTTTTTTTGTCTGTGGTTGTGAACCTGCGCTCCGAAGCGTGCACCAAAGCTTTTGCACAAAATTAAGTGGATCTGCATGGTATAGAACTGGCAACGGTATGCAATTGAAGGTTTATAGTTATATATATGATCTGGAGAGGTGTATGCACAACTCACAATTTCTACGACATTAAGGTAACGTGTTATGATATTGAGGGGTTCATAGTACCTTGAGTGTATTCCCGCAACATTGACGTCAATCTTTTTTAGTAGCAATGGAGATATTACCTCCCCTTCTATAAACTTCTTTCGAAACAGAAGTCCGCTGGAGACGGTGGGCAGAGAAATAAATTCTAAGACTAAAGACTTAAAGCACTAGCATCTAAGGCTATTTTGTTTTGTTTGTTGGTTTTATTGAAAGCTCTATCGCATTTGGGATTTGAACCCACGACTATTGAGTGGTTAGTCGAGATCGTTTGAAATAGAAATGATTTCTAAAATAGACTTTAATTCAGCTAAGATACCCAATATCGATCCTTTCATTGTTTAATACCCCGGAAATTTTTTATATAATGTTTGCAAAAATGTTACGACATTAGTTTTGTACTACCCGGGAATGAGAATTAAAGACTCTTTGCGTAGGGTTCTACAATGGGTGGGATTCTGCCTATCATTTGGAAACTGTTTAAAACAAAAATAATCGTATTGTTGATAAGTAACCGATCCGAGTAAAAATTTGCGGCCAACGTTGAAATTCTCTCATCCTAATTCTCTAATTGCGTATTTATGACATATCGAAAGAATCTTTTGTTCTCATTAAATATACCTTAGTGATGGGTAAAAATACTATTCAAACTTGGCTTAACCTTGAAAAGTGTTATGGATGTAAAGATGAATTCGAAGTGCTGCCAAACGGGAAATGTCGCCTATTTTCATTTATATTGGGGGAATCTATATGAAAATACCTACTCTCCAATCTTCTGGTTTTACTATATCATGCGCTTCTTAACAATGCGTAACCCATGCGACTAACCAATCCCAAAAAAAATCTTTGGGTTCATTTCTCGCAGAACTAATCTTGCATCGCTTCGTTTAATGAAGTTATTCGTGTAAGGTTTTTTCAAAATAAGGTATTTTAGGAAAAGGAGTAGTGGCCCGAACTGAACCATTTTCAGCAGCATTTGTCCTTGGGTCAAAACACAGCAGCGTACCAAGTTTCATTAGTATTCCACCAAAATTATGATCGGTTCTTCTGTTGATCACAAGGAAACAAGATGGACACACGGACGGACAAGTTAAAATTGATTCAACAAATGATTTTGAGTCGAACGGTATAATCAAAGGAGAGGCTATCTTAAGTACTTCTGGATGTTTTATATATTGGCACAAACTTGCTGTACTTTTGGACCTTGGATGCTGTAGTTTATAATAACCAGGCATTAAGGGAATGTCTCGTACATGAGTAACAGAGTGATGATCACAGAGATATATAATAATAAATATAACTAAGTAATAAATAAGTAATAAATGTAGTAAAAATGTTTCCATCGATCTAGAGAGAAAAATTTTCATATATTATCGCTTGATAATGGTAGTCGAAAATTGGTTGCAAAAATCGATCTCAACTTTTAACATTAAATGGCGTATAACGTCTTGAGCTTTTAAGCGATCGCAGCGATCTTATGATCACTTTTATTTAATCAGTCAATCTAGAAAGCCAAGACATCTACCAACTAATCTAAAACAGCTCTGTTAAGTAGTTAGAATTAAGATATGACGGGACTTGGAAGTCTACTTCGCTCAAATTAGGAAACGTAAAATATTTCGGTGGATATATCATGGACCTCTATGAAAATATCTTCCAAACAAACTAAACCAATGCATATTCGGAAACTATTTTTAACAAATTTTTGAAATCTGATATGTTAGGATAAACCGACTATGGAGAAAAGGTTAAATTCGAGACTCTGGTGGCCGGTTAAATTTGAATTTATGTTTACACAATTCAATCTACACTGGCAAATATTGAGATTTTTGAATCCAATTGATGCTAAAGTCTGGTATTAGTTTTAATATTGTTTCAAGATTCACTTTCAGCTTAGATATAACAATTTTGAGAAACTTTTGAATTATTTCTTTGAAATATTATTCAATCCGTACTCTCTGCAATCTCTTGCGGTGACATATACTTTTTACATTTAAATGCTTTTGTGACAATTTATCTTAAGATTTACTTACCTTTGATCTATATATATATGCACACATATATATATATTAGTTTGGGGAAAAAGAAATCCATTATTTTTATATGAACTTCAGGACATTATTTAACATGTTTCGGATTGTCCGATTTAGGTCAAATATGCACCGTTTTGTTGTATGATTTGTTGCCATTTTAAAGGTAACTTCAAAATGCCTCTCTCATAGAAGTCCTGGTCTCTATTTGCAAAAAACTCTATATATATGACAAACATTTATTTTCGTAAAGTAATTACCAAATTTCATTCTAATTTGTGTGGTGAGATCATTTAAATGTTGCAGAATTTTTTTTTTTTTTTTTTTTTTAAATACATAATAACGACGAGAGCAATTTTTTTTTTTTTTAATTTTTAAAAAAAAAAAAAAAAAAAAAAGCAAAAATCAGAGTTGAATGACCAATTAATGAATACAACTCTGCCAAATTATAATACTAATGCATGAGACATGCTTTGCTTTTCATTCTTCATGCGCACTATCAATGACCTTAAGAAAGTCAAGATGCTAAAGAAACGTGACTTCCTGTTGTTTTCTTAAGCTACAGACTTAGTACAATAGTTAGCTAAACTATAAGAGCAAAAAAAA